TTTAGGCAGGAGTGTATAGCACTACACTATTTTTTGTTTTGTTTTGTTTTCAAATTGATTACATTGTAATGTGAAAAAGTTACTTGTGACAATGTTCCTCCATGATGGAGTCCAAAGAAAGCAATCTGCAATTTATTTGTCTGTTAAGATTGTGTGTAATGTACAGTCACATTGCATCTATTACACATATGCTACAGGGTATTGGCAAACCGTGCCTTTTATGCACAGTAGTGCCTACTAGGTAGGAACTAACATCCAGGTGTATACAAATTCTAACCCTGCCTCGTTCTGGGCTGCATGATGAGGTTTGTATAGGCATCTGGACTTTTACAATATCTACAGCCTTCTTAGTCTCTTAAAGTAATCAAAATTAGGCTATTGTGTGTTACTTTGAATTACAATTGCCAGAAGATATACAGACTAAGGCATTGTGTTAAACATGGTGAAGTAAGAAAGAAAGATCCCATCCTCACTAAGGTGTTATTTCTTATAGTATCATTGCCACTTCAATGATTAAAAAAAAAAGGTACATAAACTCTCCCATGCTAGAAGTCAGGAAAAGAGATAAAGAGATCAAGCCAACTGACTATTATTATAGCATAAATATACTGCGCAGGACTCTCAAGATGCCTCTGGTAGAGGACCCGAGCTTGAAGGATAAAGACCACCATATGACACAGTAACTTTAATAGATATTCAAGCAACAGGCTTTTATTTCTGGGGTAATAACTGCTTGAGTTACTGCTGCTGTGCCCGTGTATGGATGCAGCCTTTAGAGGCAACATATTGCTGCACAGATTTAGAAAACAGCAACACTGACCAAAACGTGTAACAGAGTCATTTTTCTCATCATGGTAACAGCAGAAAAATGTTTTACTCACCTCCTTTCGAAATCGTAGGTATTAAAAGAACTATAACAATCACCACATACAAGGCAGCAATGATGATATGCATCACTGGACTGCAAGGAAGGAAACACAGTTCATTTTGAGCATTCTGGGTACGTCTTCAGACATCAAAGTCCCATAGTTCCTGCAGTCAAAGGCATTTCGTTTTGTGCACAAAGTCATGTTGGAACACGAAGACTTGGAGATAAGATCATGAAGGATCTTCCCCGCCCATCTTTAGTTTTATTAAATTTTCTTTTTAGCAGAAGAAAAGGTTGAATGGATACACATATCATAACATGTGCCATCTAAAGACACTTTAGACTCAAATCTTCCAGATTTTGCAACTTTACTCCACAGCCAATTAATGCCTTTAACATTTAACACATCACTTCAAAGACAGCATTTCAACAAAATCCGTATCCCATTACTGTAACTTATATATATTTCACTTTTCACCTTTCAAATTCTTTCAGATGTATAACAGTAAATAACAACATAAACTGACTGACTACACTGGTCAAGATTTCCAGTGATACAGAAACATCTGAGGTTGTTAGCACTGTTGCTTCACAGCAAGAACGTCCTGGGTTCAACCCCACCATCAGTGAAGTTTGCATGGCCTACCCATGTTAAAATTTGTAATGATGTTGCAGTTATTAGCAATGTGATCTTGGGCCTTTCTGCATGATTGTACACGTTCTCTCTGTGCATGTGTGAGTTTGATCCTCATGTATCGATTCTTATGTAATATTTAATGTATAAACACACAGGAAGTGAAAAGAGACAAGTAAAAACTAAATATTCCCCACAGCATGCTAAGGCTGCAGCATAACTCCTCTCTGTCCATCTGTCAGTGTATGTGTTGTAGTGATGTTTATTTCCCCTTTTCTCCAAAGGTGACTCCTCCTGGTTCCTCGACTACTCTGCCAGGCACTCACCTGTCAGCAGAATACAAGCTTTAGTTCACATTGTAATACAGATATTCAGTAAATCAACATATAAACACCATCTGTGTAAAGATTTATGCTTCTAAAGCCCCTCTCTGTAAAATCAGTATTGCAGTTCAATAAAAAACATTTGTTTTGTTCATTAGTACCAAGAAGAGAACCTCCTGCATGTTGCTTTAAACTCCAGACCAGCAGGTGGAGCCAAATCAGCTCTGAACTGGTGGAACAACCTCCAATAAATCCAAAGTTCACCTGGAGAATTCTTACCTGTAGAGCAATTGAGTTGTTAGTGTCTGTTTATCTGCAGAGGCGAGAAAAGCTGTTTGTGCTCTTTGCTCATAGAGTTTTTCTCAGTTTGTGCCCTGGTCTACTCTAAAGGTGACAATCAGCAATTAATTCTACACCCAGGTCAAAAATGTGTATAAGAAAATCAGCCTAATATAATATTATTTATAAACATACCTGTTCAGCTGTCCAGTGATTAATTACATGAGTACATGGAGGCAGGGACTCAGAATAGTCATATTCCTCAGGATGAGCTGTTCTAGTTGGGCCTCTTGTCAGCTTTCTCTCCGACACTATAAGCAATCGAGGGTTTTTTTTCCTGGAAAGTTCATTTAATCTTAATGAACAAGTGTTTTCTGTAGTTAAATTTGGCTTCTATCACCTGCGCCAAATCTCTAAAACTAAGCATTATGTACCGCACAAGGATCTCGAAAAACGTATCCATGCTTTTGTGACTTCCAGATTATTATGTCCAATCCGTCCCTCTTCACAGATTACAGCTTGTTCAAAATGCTGCAGCTCGCCTCCTAACTGGAACTGGAAAGTTTGCTTCTATCACTCCAGTTCTAGCTGACTTATATTGGATACCCATCAAATATCGTATTGATTTTAAAATCTTGTTGCTTACTTTTAAAATCATAAATAACATTGCACCGAGCTATCTCACTGGCCTTCTCAGCCTGTACACTCCAAGTCGAGCACTAAGATCATCAGGTTAGTTACTCTTGGCGCAGCTGAGGACCCGAGGCGATTGTGCTTTTGTCTCAGCTGCACCTAACCTCACGAATAACCTTCTTGCGACTATTTGTGCCTTGAACTCTATTCAATCTTTCAAATCATGGTTGAATACTTACCTATTTAATCTGGCATTCCTGACTAGCTAGTGCCGTCATCTCATCTATTTTAATCTTATTATTGTGTATTTTTTAGTTTCTTAGCTGATATCTTATGACGAGGTCACCTTCAGTTCCATCAATCAAACGTGAAGCCGATTAACTTCCTTTCACATTATTGTAATGCATAAAACATTCACGTTGCCGGGCG